GGTAGGGGAATGTCAGGAGAAAGATCAAGCTGACGGGCCCTTGGCTTGAGCTTCCGGTGAGGAATTTGGATAGCTTCCAAAACCTCAAAACACACGAACCAACGGGATGGCTGTTGGCAATCCAGAAACAAACATTCCTCGTAACGTCGTAAACTTCAGTTTGCAATCACTATAGTGTGCATGTTGATGAAACTCCACCCCGCATCGAGTCAAAACTGGAATCCAGCAGTGTTTTCCTGCTTGTCCCTTCCCTCCATAATTCAATATATATATATATATATTGTCGCAAACTACAGGGGAAACTACATATATCACTATATAATATCATAATGTATCTTTCACACATCCTGGCCAACCAATGCCGCTTCTGTTGACATCATTTCAACTGAAACCTGCCCTTCCGGTGTGCTTTTGTGTTGCATCTTTTGAAGACCAAAAGTCACATGCCCTCCCGGTGTTTTCTTTATGCGACAAACAGCAAGTGGCTGCGTCCAAGTGGGAGCTGCCACAGAGCCCGGCAAGGTCAACGCACCCTCCGCGGGTTGGTGTCAAGGACGGACGAAGGTAGGGATCGGACGAAGAGTGGGAAGTACTACTGAATGGGGCGGTTGCTTAGGAGATGCGAACAGGAATTTATGCAAGACTGTTTCAGTCAGCTAGTAAAAACCTCATCCAGCCAGGTGACAAAACAATGCATGATTGATCATTCAAAAGGATGAATCCTTTGAGTACGTAGAAGAATCTTCTGTGCCTGCCAGCAGCACCGCTTGGAATCACAGCCAAAGGTAGGTCCACTTGAATCAATCTGCCCGCCACTGCCCACTGAAAAGCTGTCAACAAAGGTGTGACTAAGCGGTCACGGTTGTATTCGGAAACTGGACGGTTGTATTCGGAAACTCGGCGGTTGTATTCGGAAACTCCACGGTTGTATTCGGAAACTCGACGGTTGTATTCGGAAACTGGAACGGTTGTATTCGGAAACTGGGATTCGGAAACTGCGCGGTTGTATTCGGAAACTGGTATTCGGAAACTGAAGCGGTTGTATTCGGAAACTGGAAGGGTGGTATTCGGAAACTGCACGGTTGTATTCGGAAACTA